AGAAGACTGACAAACTTGAATGCTCGGGAGTTTATCGCATCCAATGCGGAAACTGTGAGCAGAAGTGTATTGGTGAAACAGGAAGAAAAATTGGTCTACGAATCAAGGAACATCAAAGACTTTGCAGGAACATGAATACGAAAAGATCCGAAATAGCGAAACACATTGCACGAACGGGGCAGGAAATCAACTGGAAATCATCAGAAGGGTTGGCTGCATGTGGTGAAAATACGAGAAAACGCAAGATCTTAAAGGTTATCGAAATACTGACCGAGAGAAATTGATGAACAGGAGACTAGAAGAAGGCAGGATCAGCGCAAAATTTGCATATTGCGTAAACATCCTCGAAGAAGACAAGGCAACAGCAAGATCAGCAAAAAGAAGACGACTGGATCAAGGTAATATCAGTAAATTAAGGAAAATAGATCGCAGGGGGATGCTAAAGCAACAATCAGAAGCTAAGAGGAAACGTCTTCAGTGAGCCTTTTTAAAACCAGTGGAACCACGACATTTGTGGATTGACACACAAGAAACTAGGACGTAGGAAGTTATGACATGGTATTATAGATAGAAACAGGGAAGATACGGTGGAGCCTAAAGCTATTTGGCTAACAATAGACGTGTTTAGAGGTTGTTTGCCCTTGTTTTCGCAACATGGTCATATTGGTAGGAAGACTTATTGGAACGCACCTGTTCCGGGGTCCATTGTCTGCATGATCATTTCCAAAGTTTAACCGTGGACGTGGTACATTCACAAACGTTTCGCCGATATCGTAGTTGGCATCGTCAGTGAGTATCGCCATTCTTAGCACCACACAACATTGAACTTAACCAAAGCGAGCAGTACCACAACATTTGTGGGTTGGCACACAAGAAACAAAGGCATAGCAAGCATAGACTTGGTATTAGGGATAGTAACAGGATAGACACGGTGGGGACCGGAGCTAGTTGGCTGACGGTAGGTCGGTTGTACCAGAGACGTAGTCCATGTAGAAAAGGGGTGACGATGGCACTCAGAGGCTTGAGCCTCGAATTAGTCACCTGGACGCAGATGAAGGCGAATATCGCATCGAGTAGGACAGATGTTTTGGCAGGAGTCGGGTGAAATAGGTGAACAAGGGGTAGAACAGACGGATTTTACGGAGCAAGAGAGAGAGACTGAGATAAAATTAGGGAAAGGACTACATAATAATAATAAAACAGACTCTGATCAACATTCCCTGCACAAGGATGAAGGGGGGGGAGAATGACA